AAACGTTATAAATGCGTTCGTAACGCCAATGATAGCCGCGGAGATGCTCCCAACATTTTGCGCCAAGCTTGCTCGCTGCAACCGGGTCCTCGCTGCGGTGCCGATTTTGTACCCTTCCTTCTCTTTGTCAAGTGATATCAGCAACCTGATTGTTGAAATTGATAGACAAAGCTATAGACAAGGAAGACAAAAAGGTTATGAAAGGATCTGATTGGTAAAAGCGAGTAGTTGCAGTGGCCAAAGGAGGTGGATAATAGACTAACCGACGGTTTTGTGCCCTTCCATCTCTTTGTCAAATGATATTAGCAGCCTGATTTTTGAAATTCATGGACAAAGCTATAGGCAAGGAAGACAAAATGGATATGGAGGGATCCTATTGGTAAAAGCGAGTGGTTGCAATGGCCAAAGGAGGTGGATAATAGACTAACCAACGGTTTTGTGCCCTTCCTTCTCTATGCCAAGTGATATCAGCAACCTGATTGTTGAAATTGATAGACAAAGCTACAGACAAGGAAGACAAAAAGGTAATGGAAGGATCCTATTGGTAAAGTTGCAATGGCTAAAGGAGGTGGATAATAGACTAACCAACGGAAACCCACGAGAGACCCTTCAGTCAACCCAGTATTTATATTTACCCTCTTGGCCTCTAAGAACCACTCTTAACAATAGGACCGCTTCATACTCATCATGTACTCTTTTTCTATAGCTTTGTCTATCTATTTCAATCATCAGCCTGTAGATTCCTACATCAAATTCTGGGCCGCGGTACTAAGTTAAATCAGTAAGGACCTCTCTTAAAAGGAGCAAAGACGAGGGCCTAGGGGGCTTCGCCCTGGGAAGCGAGGCTCCACCCCCAAAAATGTTGAAACTTTTGGGACTAAAACTTGCATTTGTGGGGAGAATTTAGGCGTAAAATATCTGAAAAAACTGGACACATAAAAGGACCTATATTCAAAGAGTTTTTGGTGTGAAAAACGAGATTGAAAAGTCAACTGACAGCAATTTAACGGCAAAAAGTTAGGCAAATTTAAGGAGAAGAAGAAGAAGAAATACAGTATGCACGCAACGATTATCATTAGATACAAAGGAACATAGGAAATATGAACATTTGCAAGTTTTGAAGGTTATAAATGTTGTGAAATGGTAACGAAAAGGGAGAACACGTCCGTGAAAACAGGATGTAGTTACTGTTAATGTGAACGCACTACACCATGAAAGAAACCAAGGGACATGTCTAAAATTAAATATACACAGTGTAGATTCTACTCTAGAAGGATGAAAAAGCTCCCTCTTAAATGACTTCCCCCTCCGCAGCATATAATCTCGTTTGCAAACCTTGTGTGTAGGGGTTGGGTCATAGAATCACTAGGAGACTTAAACGCAAGGATATGAAAGTAGAATGTATCCGTTACGCATCCAAATTCCGAACTATTAAGCTCTTGCACTCTTCGGGCGTAGATGAAAAATTGAAAATAGCTAGAAAAGAATCTAATTCAATTTTGGAACGTTAACGTTAGTTACATTTTGTTAGTTTAAAGTTTCCACTGACGAATTTTTTAGAGTTTCAGAGACATGCTTTGAAGAATTTTTGAGAGGGACCAGACGGCAGAATAAAAACTTTTTCTTCTAATGGAATTACGAGCAATGGAACGGTCGAGGGTATTTTCTTACGTAAACTTAAGCTCAAATGTTATCTTGGTAAGGTAACTCTCGCATGAAAGTAACAATTAACTGCACTAACAATAAGTAAGAAGGGTACTACCGACGAAGCTAGTTTCAAAAAGTAATGTAGAGTCCTTTGGTAGATTTGAGCTCTTGTAGGAATTGTTTTGTTGATACTTAGATCTTCTTCCCTTGATGACGTCTAGTTGTAAAAACAAGACAAAATCATATTATTTGAGGACGATGTATGTATTTTCTTACTTTTTGAAGCAATGAACGTATCCACGTAAGTTGAAAAAATAGTCTATTATAGGAAGCAGTATCAAAAACATGAAATTATGACTTCTGAATTCTAACTTTGAATTTATCTCTCTTTTAACGTGTCCAAAACACACATATTTTATTTTAAAAAAAAGATAAAATTAAAAATAATGCATACATTAGCGAGCTCTATAGGCGTTAAGTAATGAATAATAAGTGTAGTTTTTTGGTCTTAAAATCTTTGCAGAATAGTGTGGCCCGGCATTTTTCTGCCATCCAGTTATTTGCATTATTTAGGCCTGATTTTCAGTGTTTTTTTTTTCCTTGTCTGTCAAGAATGTCTGAGTGTCTAAATGCCTTTAATAAAAGGAAAGTCTTAACTTGTCTCATGATTATAAAAAAAAAAAAAACCTAAATACATCAATGAGTAAACATAGTTTTTTGAAAAACACATTTTTTTGGCAAATAAAAATGATAATGCTTTCACTAATATTTTCAAGAGTTGATCAGTATATCGACGGCGTAAGTCCGCAATCACATATCTCGTTTGCGGTGTCTGAAAATCTCCGCCTCTATGTTATTCTTTTAAAGGAGAACAAATTGACATCATTCCTTGAAGTTTATGCAAATTTTCTTTGCACAGAGAAGAAAAATCACGGAAGTTTTAGAGAATTGCCGTCGAGTAGTTTTCCGTTTAAAGAATAAAGTATGACAGGAAGTCTGCGACGTCGCAGACCAAGTTATGTGATTGCCGACTTACACCGTCAATGCACGAATAAAAAAATCAATATTTTAAATAAACTATTAGAATTTTGATAATGGAGACAAATTTGAGAGAAATCTTAGGGTCTACACGGAGAAAAAAAACTTCGTGCGTGGGACCCGAAGTTTAGGTCATAGGGATCTCTGAAGTTTTCGGATTGAGCATCCGAATATTTTAGATCTAGCTGTCGAGGTTCGGATCACACATCTGAAATTTCAGTTCTTACATCTGAAGGGTTTCAGATATGAGAACCGAAGTTTTTCGGATAAGAAAACCGAAGTACTTCGGATGTAAGAACTGAAGTTTCGGATGTGTGATCCGAACCACGACAGCTAGATCTAAAGTGTTCAGATGCTCAATCCGAAAACCTCAGAGATCCATTTGACCTAAACTTCGGGTCCCACGCGCGAAGTTTTTTTCTCCGAGTACAGCCTAGAATGTAAGGAATTAGACAGGAAGTCGGCATCACGGTCGCTGACGACACAAGCACAGTTCCTCGCGTTCGGAGAGGCTAGGGAGTTAACGAGAAACCGGAGTTAAGGATTACTCGAGAAGGAGCAGGGAGCATGGAGCAAGGAGCAGGCAACGGAGCAACCACAGGAGACGCGACCGCGGCCGTGGCAGACAGCCCGCGACCAGGGTTCGCCAACCCTCCCCCTCCCTCCTCCTCCTCCTCCCCCCCCCGCAATCTCTAAACGCGGATTGGGAGGAGACCGGATCCGGGCAGATCTGGCTGCTGCGAAAAAACCTGATTCACTTTTGCACTGCACTCCGAGCAGGAGACATCAGGGCAATAATCCTGCGCTCTTGGTTCAAAACAGAGACAGGAGACCCTCCACTCGTACACTAAAAATAAAAATACATTGGATCTAGAGTCCAAACTCTTGAAAACATTGACAAGAAAAAGTACTCTTGATTCAATCAGATTTTTGCTTAAATTAAAAAGAAATCCGCTCAAATTAAGAGGCTCGGTTCTTGTATTAAGCAAAAATCCGATTGAATCAAGAGTATTTTTTCTTGCCAATGTTTTCAAGAGTCTGGACTCTAGATCCAATGTGTTTTTTTTTTTTAGTGTATCTCGGCCATGGTGGAAGTTTCTACTTTTGGGACTTCAACATTGAACTGTTAATTTACCTACATGGTTGATGTTTAACAACGTGTTGGCAGTTACGTTTTGCAAACAAGCTGAAGTTTAGGGAACTTGTTTGGCTCATGACGTCACCCGAAGCTCATCATCCACCATGTAGGTAGGTCAATGGCCGAAAAAAGAGTGAGGACTGTTGCTCCCTTATAAACGTCCATAAGAAAGTGTTGAATCCCCGAGAGTAAAAGCTTCCACCTGTCGCCAAGAGGCCAGTGGAGGGTCTCTTGTCGCTGGTTCAAAACATGAGGCTCAACATGAATCGGGCAGAGTTCGAAGGAAGGAACCGATCCGGATCAAATTGAGGTCGACAATATACTTTTGTATAACTTTTAGAAGTTCAGTACTAAAAATAAATACATTTGATGAAATTTTCATAACTATCTAATTACAGGTAATAGTCTTTAATTGAAAAGTTATGGAAGAGAAACTAAGAGATATACAAAAAAATCAAACTTAATTGAAACTAGAAAGAGGGGAAAATTGTCAGAGTTAAGAGTTGTATTCCTGACGAAACAAAGCTCACCGTGTTTTGAGTTACGTTCATAGCTCAGAAATTATCCATATACCTCATACCTTTCAGTGGCAGAAGCAAAAGGCACGTAACTCCTCGGAGAGAGCTAAAATTCGATGTTTATTCCGAATTCTCATACTTGTGAAAGAACTTCAATTTTGTAATTCGGTAGATTTCTGCGGAACTGAGCCCCCCGGCATGTAAAGGATTATACTTTTCCGTCACAAAATGAAGACACCTTTTTATAAAGACCTCATACGATAAACTATGAAACGATCATGGGTTCATGAAGTGGTGCCAAGTGAAAGAGACAGCTTTGTCAGCTTTGTGTACTATAGAAGTCACTTTTAAGCGTCACTTTAATTGTGTAAGTCAACACAGTGGCGCGACATGAATGACCAATTATCGATAGTTTCCCCTTTTGGAGGTACAGTAAAGAATCGATTATTAAGGTCTTCGTTGTGAGCACCCTGTTTATCGATCCTTTTACATAGATTTAAATGTCAGATCAATCTATATATCGCAAATATATCACGCCACTAATCGCAAAGCGGATCAATTCTAAAAGCCGATATTGACTTATGTAAGAGAAACAGAAGGGAGCTATCGGCTGTTTTTGATTTCGATTGATGATTTAGAGATACACAGGATTCTGAAGCTTAACCAGCTTGTGGATTACTGGGGCTGTTTGTTCTTCTCCTAATTTTCGCACGGAAACCTGTAAGCGGCCAAACCATGAATAAAATTCTGTAGTTAGCATTTTGAATGTCGTCTGGTGCTTTTTCATCGGATGAAAACTCATAGTGTAAAAGCGTATTTGCAATCAAGTACTTGACAGACTGATATGCATATTTATTTCCTGAAACAGAACAATCACAAAAACACATGAGTACTAAAATTATTGTCAATTTTTTATTATTTAAATTTTTACAAATTGTTTCAGTCAAATCATTCAATGCTATGATTAGAAATTCTATAGATTTTGGCTCATAACCGTAAATCAACTTTTGAGAAATTGCGAGAAATAGAATAAACTCTTTATGGCCTATGAATTAATGATTCAATGGGCAATAGAAGAATGCGAAAAGAGGAGAGTACAGCTATAGTTACCTGGACAATGTCTTGGACCATTCAGGAACGGAACGAACACACCTTTTGGCCTTTTTTGTTCGTTTATTTGTGAGAAATGATCAGGATAAAATTCGTTTGGTTTCTCCCAAAACGCGGGATCATGATGCAACACAAAAAGAATCGGCATGACACTGACTCCAGCTGGAATCGTCATTTTTTCTGAGAAAAAAGGAAGGAGGTGACAAAATTTTAATTATGGTGTTCTGATCTTTTTTTGACGGAATGGCGCTGTGTTTAAGTCAATTAAATTCTTTGGGCCACGGTCGGTCCCATTCTTAGAAAATACGTTTGTAACAAGTAAATTATCATATTGTTTACAAAGCTAACAGGAAATTTCAATATTATAAAATTTTAAAAAAAAAAACAATTAGAATTTGCATAAATAATTGGTTTTGATAAGAGAAACGAGGCTCTCCAAACGAACTGATTCTTACGAATCAACTTCACACTTTACTCTCTGGGACTGACTGACTAGGGAGGCTAAAAGTCAATCGCCTCCCAACAATCTGCTGCAGGGTTCCGAAGGGGCCGGGGCCCCGCGGCAATTTTCCTCCAAATTATTACTATTATTTCTCTGTAATTTTATTATTTTTAAACCCTTTTTAGTTTCTTTAAGACCCCATACTTCTTAAAATGTGAGTCTTTGAGACTTTAAAAGGCTCAAAAGACTTTAAGTGGACGTAAAGCTTCAAAATTACACAGGGAGACCCGGGGAGTTCCAGAAGCCTCAACAGTGATGAAAGGGCCTTCGCATACTGTATAATACAATTTGTAAAAAGTGTCAGTGATAACTTTGGGGCCTCAAAAGCGACTAAGGGGCCCCGAAAAATCAAAACTGTAACAATCAGACCAATCAACGCGATCCGCGAGACAAAATTTTTTCGAGGTTTTGCACCTGCATACTTATCTTCACTTACACGTCACCTTACACCCATCTCTAAATACGAATAACCGTATTTTTACGGTACGTATAAAGTCAATGAGATTAAAAAGCAGTAGAACCGAGTAGTTGAAGTAAATAAATCGAGCACTGGCATGAATTTTGTGTCATCAAATGTTAGATTCTTGTTTGCTATCGATTTTAAACATGTTCATACCATCGACTTGAAGATCCTCAACGAGAGCTCGACCAACAAAAGGGATGCCAAAATGCCGAAGGGTTTCTTTAACAACCATCTCCAAGTAAGTAAGTTTTGACACATCCTCTAGGGTAATCTCCAGTCCATTGCTAATCTCCACGATCTCTTTGTACGCTCTCTCTTGAATTTCGGGTCGTTGGGCAAAAATCTTAAGTATCCAGGCAGCAGTTGTGGCTGTTGTTATTGAGCCCTGGAATAATTATTTTCATATATTTCAATATTATATTACAACGATGTAATATTATTTTCTATAATTGTCATGTTAAGCACAACTCGTTCTGCTACTCTACTGGGCCAATATCCATGATTTTTGTTTGGTTGTCGATAGATGACAGTCCCTAGATGAGCCCACTCTATTCAGATTAGGTGGATTTAGCGTTATGTCTATTCTCTTTTTCTCTTCCTTACGCACATCTATTTTCACTGCTCAATGTAATTTACCGATGTCCTTTAAATCGATAATGTAGGCGTCCAAGCCTAAAATTGAGTAACTCGGTTGTTAATGTTTACACTTTAAACGGGAATATATATTTATCACGACTCAGCTAATTTTTTACCTCATAAAATTGCCACGAAACATAGCTTCTTGCTAAGTTAGCGAGGAAACAATCAGGGATTGGTTCGTTATTAAACATACTATTTCAAGCTTTCGAAGAGAATTTCTGAGGGGAGAGAAGTCTGTAATTTGAATGGTACCTACTATGCGTTATGCAAAACGAACTAAGAGTCTCGACAAATGTCGGCAAGTAAGTTTATTAACTAACGGTGCTCAATTTTCTCTCGCTTTAAATTATTGGTATCGATATAATAATATATACTATAGATACAAGGCATTTGTTACTGATGAGCTTACTTTTTGTACTCACCGCAATAAACATTTCGACTGTTTCGTCAACAGCGCGTTCGTTCGAGATGACCCCTGATTCTACACTATTGAGCAGGTTTTCCATAAAAATTGGCACTATTTCTGTAAAAATTTTCATTGAAAAAACAGTGCATTAAATATTATAAATAACTCTTCGTATTTGACAGTGCACACAAAAGAAAATCCAGCATTTTACAAAAGGAATTAGATTTTTGAGGTTTGGGTAACTTTCTTGCTAAAGCGTGGAAAGGATTCTAAATTATTTGACAAATAATGTAAGAGGAAAAAGTAGAGAAAATCTAGTAAGTAGGTTTTTGTTAAAAAGAAATTATTCTGACCATGATCAGAAAAAATGTTTACAATTCTCATTAATATTGATAACGGAGCTTAAAGTCTTAAAGGATCGCAGGGCCAGACTTGCCGCCCATGGAACGTCTGTATTCTGCCGCCCTCTCATCCTCATTCGTATTGGAAAATGAACAAAAACCATCAAGTGAACGTGCTAGCGGGGGAAGGGTAAATAAGACGCGTTTACTCGTGTTGAACACATGTTTTTGGAATGCCCTGTCACCACTACTAGCAAAAGTTAAATTTCGTAAACCTATCTCTGTGTGGAGAAGGCCTTCCATTCATGAGAAATGAACGAAAAAATTCTGAAAGAACAAACATGGAAGTGGCTTAATGATTTTAACTTCCGCCGCCACGCCGCGCAGACCGCACCATGTTTGGCGCAATGCGTGAAGTATTCACGCAGTCTTGTAGGCGCCATGCGTTTCACGCTAACCGCACTGTGTTTGGCGCAATGAGTGAAGTATTTATGCATTCTTGTAGGCGCTATCCGTTTCACGCTGACCGCAATGACCGCACTGTGGTTGATGCAATGCGTGAAGTATTCGTGCAGTCTTGTAGGCGCTACTATGTGTTACATGCCAATCGCCGCGCCGAGGGCTTCTCCTTTTCATCTCAAGTCCTCGTCATCATTGCTCTCTGCGCCGCGCCGTTCCAGGTCATATTGCGTGTTTGGTTTCTCTCTTAACTCGACTTATTAAAGGTACTGTCTCTTGGATCACTGAAAGACGACAAAATAAAAAATTACTATACTCTCAGGAAATGAGAGATCTTGTCGCCTTTTCTCGTTTGTAATTGGTTTGTCTAAATCCGATATTTTTTTATACCTACTTTTAAAAAAATTGAAAAATTTGCCGCCCTCTAGATTTGCCGCCATTAGCCACATGGGGGGCCACATGGGGTGCGGGGGTGGCCACATGGGGTGCGAGGGTGGCCACATGGGGTGCGAGGTTGGCCACATGGGGTGCGGAGATGGCCCTGAAGGATCGATGAAATTCTGTGAAATATTTTCAATAATCTTAGAATTAAAGGAATTCACAGAAACGAGGCGTTATGTTATTTAATTTTGTGTCAAAATTTAAAACAAGAGAGAAGTTGGGCCACGTGAAATGCAGTTTTGCTTATTCCGGTCGTGTTAACTAATCCGAATGCGCCTCACCCAAGCTGATATGCAATATAAACTCCTTCGAAGGCGGAGTAAATGGAGTGAAGTAATGCCTTCAATCATGAGGCTGTAGGCAAAACAAGATCCATACAAATTACAATAAAGGACAACATTCCGGAATTTGAAAAGGAAGTAGCCAAGACATTTTTAAACGAGCGCGATTTTTTTAGGAATGTATTTTACCGATGCAATATACAATTGTATTTTTTTTAGAGGAACAACATAATAGATCGTTTTACCAGCTGTGTAGAACAAGGGCGCTTTTGCTCGAACATGGAACAAAAACTAGGAACATTCATGAACATGGAAAAATTACCTGAATTTGTGTTTGACAGCCTCGTCTCCTCTCTGTACTTAGCTCGCAGTTCAATCATCTAAAAAAATAAAATCATATCATACTCTATAATATAAAATTATAAGCTTAATGAACGTAACGCTTAAGAACTAAACTCTGGGTGTTTTCTCCACCCCTTCCACCGCACCTCCCTTCCTTGCGCATTCTGAGTCCACTCAATTCTCTACCCCTTCTCATGCAGATCTCTCACTCCAACCCCGTTTTTTTCTTCCTGCTTTTCGCACGAGAAGCTCAAAATATGAAATGTACTTCACGACTTCATTACTTTTGCCTGAGTCAAATTCAAGCTGATTTTGGTCATTAACGTAACTCTAAGCGATAAAAATTAATGACTACATAGTTGTGGAGAGAATGGCAAGTAATGGCAAGTAAAATTTTGGCGGGCATTTTAAGGCACCGTGAGCACGCGTTTTTTTTTTTTCATAATATTGCAAATTACGAATGGAAATTGTTAACGTGATTTTCTCAATCGAAAAAATTGATTATCGTCTAGCTGAGAATAATGTACTTAAATTATCCTTAAATAAAGTAATTTAGGTACATGGTGAACTTACCTCCTTGGCCAAATCCCGCATTCCTTGGACAAGCCTCTGCAACGCCTTTTTCTTACCAAGTAGAGTATAAATCAAATCTGGCTGCAGAAGGAAGTTGAATATCCTGGTATGAATCATTTCAGATGACCTGAAAAAATCAGTTAATTATAATTTAATTAAGACTTCTGCTTCATCTACAGTGACGTATTCGACATAAAATGGCCAGGATCTAGAAGGAAGCGCGCCCTACGGAGATGAGGACCACGGGATCTGAATTTCTCTCTGTCCAGAAAGTTTGAAAATGAATTATTAAATTTATTATTAGAGCTTATTGTAAAAGTATCCACATTGAAACAAAAAAACTTCGAAACCTATTATCTCAATTTATTTTTCCAACTAGAAACTAGTGAAGGGGCCAGTCCGCAGATTGTAAATGATACAGACTCCTACTATTTAACACGCAATTTTTGACGCAATTTTTCCAATTCTGAAGAAATAAAGAAAAACTAGGTTGAATCATACGTGGAAACTATACTTTTTCTTGCAATAATAACAATAGGTAGGAAAGATCGTAATAATGCAAATTACGCGTAGAATTTTTCTGATTCTAACTTTGATTTGTTGTTTGCAACTTTTTATTCAATCTCGATTCGTACAAAAAAAATGCATTCATAAGAGATAGTTATTCTATGAAATGATGCTGTGTTAGATTTTTAATTAATTAGGTACTCACTTCTCTAAATTTGTGGAGAGAAACACCATATTTCTTTTCTGTATCTCCATTCGGCATCCCATCATATTCTCTGAAAAATCGAACCGTAATGAAATAATTTCATTCGGGTGCCTCAACTTCAATAGTAATTTACACCGAAAGCAGGAAAAAAATAATGGGGGAAAAATGTAAAAAATAACAAAATTTTAGGGGAAAATATCTGAGGCTTTTACAGAGACGAGAAAGAATGAAAGTAATGATGAATAAATATTTTGAAGAGATATGTATTGAAGAAAGGAAAAAAGAGAAGAGCATGATGAGAAGATATGAAAACTAATTCACTAATGTCCATTTAGTGTGTGACAAAACTTGAAATTTGAACTCTGAGGCCTTAGTTGCTCAGGCACAGCTTCAGGATAAACAAATATTACTACTAATGTTTCGTTCTCTTCTTATTTTTCCCCTCTTTTGAGCGGTAAAAAATAGAGTTTTTTACATGTAGAAACAGACATCCCTCTGCAACTTCGGAGCCATGTGTATTGATTTATTGTTCATTTTCAAAATTCAATTTTTCTTCTCATTATCTAGCTTTTGTTCAATTTCCTTGAAATAATAATGGAAAAAGTTCCTCACGGCTCATTAAAAAAGGGAAAGCAAAAAAAAATATGAATTTCAGTAAAATCATACCACAAACGAAGTCTATCGTGCACAGGTGAACTGGAGCGAATAAGTCGACCATTTTCTCACCATCAGCAAACTCGTTTAACTTTTCAATGAACGTCTTCGTATGATAACTAAAACTGGCACCGAATGAACTTAAAACGTTGGTCCGAAAACTAGGGTTGATGGTCTTCCTTATTTTACGCCAACTGTCTCCTATAAATCATAAAAAAGATGGTATTCGTTGCTTCACGTGCTCTGCAAGATTAAGGAACATGAGGGGAAAAGACGTACGTGTAACATGTGCCTTAATAATCTAAATAAATTCAAGAGATCGTCTTTTATTCATAAGAATTTGTACTTCGTTATTTGTATTAATCAATTTGCAAAATGCACATCATTCCTCACATATTTACAATGATGAATTGGCTCAGATTTGCTAGTGGCAGGATAAAGCTAAGAGTGTATTCAAAGACAAATGGTCCATGTCCCTCTTTAATATAAACAAATAGCTTCCATCTCCAACTTGTATAATAGTGTATTCAATAATGTAGATGGTGTATGTATTTAGTATCCTCATAGATACTTACACCAGCTCAAATATGTAACAAAAAGATCGATTTTCTCCTGCCATCTGGATGTTTGAATTCGAGTGAAGATATAAAGTTTGATTTGCTCCAGGTAGAAACTTAACGTTTGAAATATACCTAAAATTCAATGTCAGTTATTTTTAAAGACATTGCTTGGTTAGAGTTCAAAATAATCTTACCGTTCGCACAAAAAATTCCGGATCCATGTGCCTCAAAGTAGTCGTACAATTGCGTTTTGTGAATATTTTGGCTACTGCTTAGTAGTGCCTGGAAATAACAGACAATTATACTTTGTTTCTATTTTTCGACTGTATATTTAATGAAGGTTGTCGCAGGGAAGGACACATCAGATCAGATTATACTGAATGTACTTACGTTGTATTGAAAGGAGGAAAAGAGGGTAAAGAGTGAAACGATTTTTAAGACATTTTTTTTTACTGTTCCAAATCTTACAATTTTATATATGTAGGAAATGCTTGGTATTGAATAATCTGAGCGAAAGCAGCGGTGAAAGTTTTTCTGCTCGGAGGTATAAATAAAAAGAAGAAAAAGAAAGGAAAAGTAATATTTTAATCATCTAAATGTTGATACCTCTCTCAAATGAAAAATAATAAATTAAGATAAATAGCATGATAACGTTCACTGTTAGAATGATAATAATAATAATAATAATCAGAAATTGAAAAGAGTTTGCAAATGGAGGATAGTTACGATACTCACACTTATAACTTTGGGATCACCAGTAATGAACCACGGCTCATTTTTGATCCAATAACAACCATTAGGATATTTTTCCATTTGTTCTCTAAGTACTTCACACAAATCTGAAAATTTTAAGAAGTTATAATTGATTGATAACGAAAACCCTCAAAAACGGCAATTTTAATCATTATTTCTGAAGGTAAATTTGATGATTTGACCCTTCAAAAGTCCGAATTCTCTGACTTCATACTCGCACTTACCGGTGCAAAGTCTAGTATTTCAAATTATTTCAAAGTGCTTGATCGACACATTGCTCTGTGGGAGTACTAATTACAGATTTTCTTTTTTCTGAATGAGTTGCTAATTGTCATATGAGTTGATATATTTTTTTAAGTTTGGAAATGTCTTGTTCTGAATAACCATGTACGGCAAAGTTTTCACTAAATGGCGTGGCAGCAATTCCGCATTCTTGCCTTTGCTCAAATGTTAGTCATGAGGAGCATGATTTTAAAAATCGAAACAATTCAAAAGAGGAAGTTAAGAGTCGGCGGCAGTGATAGCACTCGTAGTATTGTGTGCTTAAGCTTCAACTTACTTTGATCGGTGATTTTTAGTGCAAAATAGGCACTTCCGATAAGGGGAAACGATGGCGGCCCTGGCATGGTTTTCATAAATTTGTAAATTTTTCGATGCTTCCATCGTTGTTTGAAAAAAATAACAAGCAGCATCGTTAGCACACCGATCCACAATAACAAATTCGCTTTGATTTCAAGTGACGCTTCCAATAATTTCATCTGTGGAAAAAAAATGGGTCACACATGATGACGCGTCATGAGCCAAATTAATCCCTATGATATCATTATGTTACATTGTTACGGGACAAAGAGCCTCCCAAAAAAGAGGCTGATTTTGGCCCCTTTTTAGGTATTCGATTCGACCATCGGACCAAGGTTTAAATGGAAGCTTATATTAACAGAAAACTCAGGAAAAAATTTCAAGATGAGTATAAAAACCGTTTTCGAGTTACGGGGGGGCAAAGGGGTCAAAATCCGGCCTAATTTTTTGCTGTTTTCTTGAAGAATTGATGCATTGCTGGGGTTCTTATCGTTGTTTACGCATGTGTAGCACATCGATTCCTACGTGTTTTTACACGTAAAATCGATTTTTAACGTTGCCGAATCGATATACTGATCAGTTAAATCGATTTTGAACGATTTTTTAAGGAAAATCGATGATTTTTCAGGATCGAAATTGTTTATTTTCGATTCATGAATTAATAAATGCTCCTAAAATGACTGAAGCACACCGAACCCTACGTATTTTGACACGGAGAATTGATTTTTGACGTTGACGAGTCGATTTATCTATCGTTTGTATCGAATTTTTGCGATTTTTTACGGAAAATCGACGACTTTTCGGAATTAAAATCGGGTTTGCTCCATCCAAGATCGAAAATATGTATCCAACATGATTGGAGCACATCGATTCTTACGTATTTCTACTCGTTGAATCGATCTATAACCTCGAAGAGTCGATATATCGATCAGTTGTATTGAATTTTTGCGATTCTTTGAGGAAAATCGATGGTTTATCGGGATTGAGATCGGTGTTTCTCCATCCGAGATCGGAGAAAAGTATACCCTTTATGATTGGAGCATATCGATTCTTGCGTATTTCTACACGTAGAATCAATTTTAAACGTCGACGAGTCAATATATCGATGTGACATACACAACTCTTGCGATTTTTTACGGATATTCGATGGTTCTTTTGGATTGACATTGGAACAACTTACCAGACATGACTGGAGCACATCAATTCTTTCGTGATTATTCTCGAAAAATCAAATTTTTGAAGTCAACGAGTCGATATATTGACTAGTCATATTGAAGGTTGACGAGTCGGTTTGGGGATCTGACAAATCAATTTTTTGAACCTTAATCGGCGTGCTCCGACCATGTCAGGTGCATATCTCCACCCTCGGACCGTAAGTAACCGATTTCATTCCTGATCGAAAAAATTGTTTCCCATAAAAATCGCAAAAAGTCAATTTGACCGGTCAATATATCGACTCGTCGACTTCAAAAATTGATTTTGCGAGAATAAAGGTTATAATATAGTTATAATTTATAATACGAAATAATATAGTTGTTCCAATGTCAATCCAAAAGAACCATCGAATATCCGTAAAAAATCGCAAGAGTTGTGTATGTCACATCGATATATTGACTCGTCGACGTTTAAAATTGATTCTACGTGTAGAAATACGCAAGAATCGATATGCTCCAATCATAAAGGGTATACTTTTCTCCGATCTCGGATGGAGAAACACCGATCTCAATCCCGATAAACCATCGATTTTCCTCAAAGAATCGCAAAAATTCAATACAACTGATCGATATATCGACTCTTCGAGGTTATAGATCGATTCAACGAGTAGAAATACGTAAGAATCGATGTGCTCCAATCATGTTGGATACATATTTTCGATCTTGGATGGAGCAAACCCGATTTTAATTCCGAAAAGTCGTCGATTTTCCGTAAAAAATCGCAAAAATTCGATACAAACGATAGATAAATCGACTCGTCAACGTCAAAAATCAATTCTCCGTGTCAAAATACGTAGGGTTCGGTGTGCTTCAGTCATTTTAGGAGCATTTATTAATTCATGAATCGAAAATAAACAATTTCGATCCTGAAAAATCATCGATTTTCCTTAAAAAATCGTTCAAAATCGATTTAACTGATCAGTATATCGATTCGGCAACGTTAAAAATCGATTTTACGTGTAAAAACACGTAGGAATCGATGTGCTACACATGCGTAAACAACGATGAGAACCCCAGCGATGCATCAATTCTTCAAGAAAACAGCAAAAAATTAGGCCGGATTTTGACCCCTTTGCCCCCCCGTAACTCGAAAACGGTTTCTATACTCATCTTGAAATTTTTTCCTGAGTTTTCTGTTAATATAAGCTTCCATTTAAACCTTGGTCCGATGGTCGAATCGAATACCTAAAAAGGGGCCAAATTTTGGGAGGCTCTTTGAGATCTTGGGTGCAAAAACATTTGAAAGGAACATCCAAGAAAAAACTGGACAGCATAGTTCGCACGAAGGTTTTTGGCCGAGGCCCTCTATTATTTAGTCACCTTGAAAGACGATACAAATCGAAATTTCGCACATTCTCTGAGGATTTACCGAGGCACTAGACAGTAATGAAATAGATTTACTGGAAAATTGAAATGTATTGAACAGTGATTTAAACACGTTGTTATCTATCATGATTTTGATAAATTATAAATTCAAGGATCCTTATGCTTTTATTTTTAAAGAGTGGCTCAGTTTCTGTCACATGTAAAAATGATAAAAATTTGATTTCAACGCTTTAAATTATCATACGTTTATTCACATTTTTTTATCTCATTTTTATTTACAATGACTAATCTAAATCCAAATGTTGGCATCAAAACTCACATAACTGATGACTCCGATTCCCATCATAAGCCGCAATTGAAAAAATTTCATTTTACACATACATATATATGTGTCGTTCTGAAAGATCTTTTAACAATTGATTTTCGAGCGACCTTCATGGATTTCTAAAATTAAATTTACAACAGAAAAATTGTAATTAACTTCAATATTACATAAAGTTTCGGTGGTGTTATTTTATCTCTTTTCTAAAATATAAAAAAAACTAAGCGATAAAAGATTTATAAGACGTAGTATAAATGTACACACACGCAAATGATCAATTTTAATCATTATTAAACTAATTAGGAATAGAATTGTGAAAAAAAAATGGACAATTACCTTCTTCGAAGTCAGAAAAGTCAAACAACACAAAAACACGTTGTACAACTCACTCCGTAACTTAACATTAACTCTAAAGATCACAGATCCACCGATTCAAGCCACTTAATA